GGAGCTGCCGCTATTCAAGTTGAGAGTGACGATACTGAAAAACTTCCTGTAACAACAGAAGTAAGGCTGTGCAATTCAGCCATCTTGCAAAATCCCTTGGCACACATGAAGGGACTCAGTGTACAGGGAGCCTGTGACTTTTGGGTTCAGTTACTCCAAAAATTTCCAGATTTGTTTGGGGATGTACCCAAAGTAAGTAAATTGCCTCCCCATGACGTGGATGTCGGGGAAGCTGTTCCAATAAAGCAGGCTCCTTACCGCATGAACCCAACAAAACAACTTCACATGGAGGAAGAAGTGAAATTCCTCCTTCAAAACCAGTTTGTAGTGCCTAGCGAGAGTCAGTGGGCATCTCCATGCCTGATGGTTCCCAAACCTGATGGATCTATGCGTATGTGCACTGACTATCGCAGAGTAAATGAAGTAACGAAGGCTGACGGTTACCCTTTGCCACGTATGGATGATGTGATTGATGCTGTGGGAGGGGGAAAGTTTGTGAGCAAACTGGACTTACTTAAAGGGTATTATCAGATACCCCTCACCCAGCGAGCCAAGGAAATTTCAGCCTTCGTCACTCCAGATGGGTTATTTCAATATAATGTTCTTCCTTTTGGGTTAAAAAATGCTCCTGCCACCTTCCAGCGTCGTATAAATACTGTCATAAAGGGGGTTGGATGGTGTGCGGGCCTATCTAGATGATATTGTGGTATTCAGTAACCAGTGGGAAACTCACTTGGTAAGATTGCAAAAGTTGTTTGAATGTCTATCCCAAGCCAATCTAACCATCAATTTGAGCAAAAGTGAGTTTGGCCAAGCCAGTGTACAATTCTTAGGATATGTAGTTGGTCAGGGAAAAGTTGCCCCAATTCATGCTAAGGTGGAGGCCATTATAAATTTTCCTAGACCACAGAATCGGAAGGCAGTGATGAGGTTCCTGGGCATGGTGGGTTATTACAGACGTTTCTGCCCCAACCTCTCCCAGGTAACGTCACCACTGACAACTTTGACCAGTCCCAAAGTTCAATTCAACTGGGACAGCAAGTGTGACAGGGCTTTTGAAAATGTGAAAATGTTATTAGGGAATGCTCCTATCTTGAAAAGTCCTGAGTTTGAATGCCCCTTCTCTCTACAAGTGGATGCTAGTGATGTAGGGGTAGGTGCAGTGTTGTTGCAGGGTGATGAGAGAGATAGCCTTCAGCCAGTTTGTTACCATTCAGCCAAATTAAAAAAGCATCAACGTGGTTATGCAACTGTAGAGAAAGAGGCTTTGGCTTTGGTGTTAGCTGTGCAGAAATTTGAAGTTTATATCAGTGCTTCCCCACATCCTGTAATAGTGTATAGTGACCATAACCCTCTGAGGTTTTTGCAAGAATGAGAAACCACAATCAAAGACTCTTAAGATGGGCTTTGTTCCTAAAAGCCTTTTAATTTGAAAGTTAAATATATAAAAGGCTCAGAGAATGTGGTTGCTGATGCTCTCTCTAGATGTTTCATGTAGATGCATGGTGCATACTTTGTACATAGTGTTTGTCATGTGCTGACCTTGTTGTTTTTGCAGTGGTGAACTCTCGGCGAGCCTGAGTTTCTCTCTACCAGCCGTCTGACTGTAAAGGAGTTGAGTCGGAGCCAAAAGAGTGACGAGGGTCAGGGTGTACGTGAATGTGAGTTGAGGCAGTGGTTGACAACCTTCGGTAACATGAGACGTTCAGGAAGGTATGTGATGTTGTGTCTTGGTGTGCTCTATGTACAAAACGGCCCGACGATTTGCCTTGTGTCCCTTGGACCCCTCCATGTTCTATGACAGCCTCCTCTTAATAAGTTTGGAGGATCTGTGTGGAGTGGGACCTCGGAAGATGGGCTTAAGTGCCTGAAACCCTGTTAAGGATCGTGAGTGTTGACTGGAAGTCTCACTGTTTGGTTCGGCCACCAAGTGAGAGACACCTTGACATGTTTTGTGAAGTTCCTGCCTGGGGTACACCTGACTGCTCTGGGTTTGGCTCTACTCTCGTCTCCTGATCAGGAAGATGCCACCCTGGAGTACCAGTTGCTTGCTGGATTACCGTAGCAGAGGCACAGGCCTGTTGGTGCGGGCTTTCACAGTGGGCATTGTGTGCAAAATTTTGCATTGTAATGTGTATTGTTTAAAAGTCACTAAAATTGTAAATAGTTACACACTTGAGTATATGGGTATGGTTAAATTGCTTTTCTAAAAAAATTCTGCAATCTCTTGTAAATAACAGTAAAGTGAAGAGTAGTTATGGTGCTGGGAAAATGTAGCATTTCTAGTAGTCTTGTTTACCGCCTTCAGACTTAAGCAATATACTTTTACTAGCCGTATCCTGAGGGACACAGCTAGCTTTTGTGAGACTTCGTCTGGAGGTGGGGGTGTTATGGGGCTATAGGACCCAACATGTATTTATAAGTAACAGTTACTTTGGAATACCTAATTATATTGAATTGATGGGGACTTTGCTCTAAATGTCAGAAGGACTGATCAACCTTTTGACTGAGAGGCAGCTGGGTCAAGCCTATTTTTCTCAATATAATAGGTTATACTATAGACACAAACACACAATTCAAATAAGTAGTTTATAAAGTTGTATTTCCTTTTGTAGAAGTAAAATTAAGGTGTGGTAGAATTATGGTAACTGGAGAATTGTGCTTGGCAACAGTCTTTTGTTTTGGTGGGAGGAGCTTAGCCTCTTTCTCTCTCTCCCTCGACTGACTCGGTCTCTCTGTGGCTGGCCTTCAACCTGGCAGGATCTCTGGGTCCTTCTTCTATCTTTTGGGGCATTATGTGTGCTCCAGGGGTGAGTTTTTTTATAATTTAAGTTGTGACCACCATACCCAGGGTGACTAAAGTGTGTCAAAACACTGGTTAGCCCAGAGTTATGTCAAGGAGAGAGAGGACTAAAGTTGTTGAGATATACCATGTGGGAGAACAGCTATGCAGTGTGTAGATCGTTGTTTTGAAAATGTGAGGCTGTAATTGTATATTCTGTACATATCTATTGAGAATACAGTTATATTTTTATAGTAGTAGTTTACATAACCTGTGAAGAGGGCTGGTGAAAGGGTATCAGAGACACTCAGGATGATCAGCCATGATGTAAGTATTACCCCTAGACAAATAAGACCATTAAGTAAAAGCTACCCCACACTAGAACATGTAGTGAGAACCTTACTATCAAAGTAATAAGGGACAACCAACGTAACACCCAGGTACCTTCCCCCTCTTTCATACATTTATTAAACAAAAGTACCAACCACTCCAACACTATATCCCCCCAAATGCAGTATAATGTGATCCTTTATTGACTACGTTTCGCCCACACAGTGGGCTTTTTCAAGTCACAAACAGAACTGTTCTGTTTGTGACTTGAAAAAGCCCACTGTGTGGGCGAAACGTAGTCAATAAAGGATCACATTATACTGCATTTGTGTTTATATTGCCATTGTGTCGGTATTTTATACCATTTATTTCCACTATATCCCCCCCCTGCTTTTAACATTTTTGTCATGATCCCATCAGTTCCAGTTGCTTTACCCCCTTTCATTCTACGTAATGCCTTGCGTATCTCCCCCACACTTACATTCTGCTCTTCTTCACTCCTAAAAGATGGTATACCTCCCTGGCCAATGCATTTAAAAGTTCCTCAAAATATTCTCGCCATCTACCTAATACCTCCCTCTCCCCATCTACTAACTCCCCTACTCTATTTTTAACTGACAAATCCATACGTTCCCTAGGCTTTCTTAACTTGTTTAACTCATTCCAAAATTTTTTTGTATTTTCATTAAAATTAATTGACAGTGCCTCTCCCACTCTATCATCTGCTCTCTTTTTGCACTCTCTCACCACTCTCTTCACCTTTCTTTTACTCTCCATATACTCTGTTCTTCTTATAACACTTCTGCTTTGTAAAAACCACTCATAAGCTAACTTTTTCTCTTTTATCACACCCTTTACTTCATCATTCCACCACTCAATAATTCTAGCGGCTTCAAATCAAGCAGGAGAAAGCTGGTAGGCCCACATGTGAGAGAATGGGTCTGTGTGGTCAGTATGCACCACATAGAAAAAATCCTGCAGCACACAGTACATAATGAGAAAAAAAAACCGACTGTTTTTTTGGATTAAAACGCTGACTTTGAGGTGTATTTTCGTATAGTATTTATCGTTGTATTCTCATTTTCATGGTCTCATATGATAAAATGGAAAACATATTACAGAAAGAGAGATGATTTTTATTAGTTTCACGATGAAAACGAACTTGAAATTGAGCTTAAATTAGCGGAAATGTTCGATTTTTACCAATATTCAGAAGTAAGCAAATCACACCACACGTCCAATACACGTCAACTGGGGAGTCTAATATTCTTTCACTAGTGCACTGATATTATTTATACCATTTTTACAATAATGCAGTAGTCTACATAACAGTAAATTTTGTCTTTTTTGTATGAATAAAAAATCAAAATAGAAAGCAATAGTAATATAAGAGGGGCCTAGAGATGTGACTAATGAACAGAGGATATGTTATTTTAGTGCCAAGAATGTGTACATTGTTTATTCTGGACCCTATTTTGAAATTGGCATCTTTTTTAATTTGCGTGAAATTGGCCAAATTGCCAATTTCTGACCACTTTATTGGGTAGTTCAAATCGGTAAATGTGCAGTTTCTTGTACTGTACTGATAGGAAAAAATGGAGTTCTAAAGAAATAGCTATGAGTTTAGTCAACTGGAACAACGGTGTGAAGGCTTACTCAACCCTGTAAGATCTTAATTAGGTCTTACCAAGCCTGGCTCCTCCTTAGGAAAATTAATGAATAGAAAAAGAATAATAACATACAAAGATAAACATTTTATTGTTAGAATTGAAAATATAAAATATTTAAATATGAACTTTTATCCTACTTGAAAGAAAACGAAAAATGAAAAATAAAAATATCTGAATTCAACGCTAATATGTACAATTCGACTGGGGTGTCTGGTTGATGTTGTTGACACTGCGCATTGTAGAAATTGTAGCCATTGCTGATGATGTGGGGGGGGTCACAGCTGTTGAGTGACAACCCAACGACTAGTTCGTCACAGTCTCCAGCCTTGAATAATCCGTCAAGATGATAGGAACACAGGTCTTTCACCACTGCAAAGATGAGAGGTAGTTGCCTGGGGTTGGCTACACTTATCAGGTATGTAGATAAAAAGTGACATTCCAGAACTCATGTGAAGTTTGTCTCCTTCAACACTATTTCTTTGATTGCCAGATGACCCAAGCTGACATTCCAAGCTAGAAAGAGACAAAAGTTACACACTGCTTAAGAAATCACTCTCCATGATAAGTAAAGCATTTAAAAGACTGGCGAAGATTGAAATGCAAAACCTGGAAATTAAGGCAGCATGACCTATGTCTTAGAATTGGTTAAAAGTGAAGCTTTTAACCACTATATCCATTAAAAACAGGAGCAGAGGCTTTTACTTACAGTTGTGCTGGGAGCTGTGAGTCAAGTGATTACCATTTGGTCGAAGCCCCACACGTCACCTTTCCGGGTGGAGAAAAAAGGGGGGGGGGATAGTGGGAGCTAGACTGACCCTAACTTAACAAGCGAACGGGCAATCAAACTATCGTCACCATATACTTGCTCGCTACTCCTATCTGTTGAACTTTTTCCTCACACTCCCCCATACCAAGACTTATAGTCGAGGAGTATAAGAAGAACAGGCGAGGAAAAAGTTCTAACACGTGGAAGTCGCGTAAGGCACCAAATCTTCTACTGACTGTCACGACTTAACCAGTCAGAGAAATAATTGGATGAACCATTGATATACACAATATGAAACTTAAAAGCTTGGAGTGTCAATGTCCACCTCAAGAGGCGACTGTTGGTTCCCTTAAAAGTTTCTAGGTACAGTATATCAAAGGTTTGTGATCCGTCTCTAAAATGAATTCTTTTCCCAGTAAATAAAATTTAAGTTTGGAGATACCTCACACAAGGGTCATTCTTTTTCTATGGTGGAGTATCTCGTTTCTGCAAGAAGTTTTAGATTTATTAAATATACAGGAACTAGGAGTGTGTGTATTTTGTGCAGTAAGCACCTGACACCTACTGCAAGAACTATACTTCTTTGTAACCTGAGAGTACATGCTTGGCCAAAAATAAGTGTGCTCGAGTTTATGCCACATCTTACGATGGGCCAAGTGTTCGGTCACTGGCAAATCATGAGCCATTTGAAGAACAGTCTCTCGGCATGGTTTAAGAACAACAAGGAGGGAATAATCTATCGCTGAAGAATGAGATTTAAATACAGATTTATATAAGATACCATTAATATAATCAAATTTATGTGATACGTATCTCCCATGGATAACTTTGTTGTTAAAAGCTTGATTATGACACTCCCAAAGTGAAGGGTAATCCCGCTGTAAATTGACAAAGTCATCCTTGGACATAAAATCTGGGAAAATGAAATGACTTACGGTGGGAGAAGAGGAGGTAGGAGAAGCCGGGGATATGGTCTGAGCCCAAGTCAAGACACTTGAGAGTGCCGGAGGCCATACCCTTACTTTTGCCTGATGAGTGAACAGGTGATCCTGCTACCTCACTATCGAGAGCAGTATCATCTGTTTCTACCCCCAAATGAACCGTATGAGACAATGCAGCTTCCGGTATGGAATTGTTAATCCTTTGAGGGTCAACAGGCCCTCTCCGAAACTCGTTCTCAGGGTCGGCCAAATTTAAAAAAAAAAAAAAATTATTTTCTCTTATGAAAAGATAGAGAATCTTTTCCCGATCATAAAGACACCAAAAGTTTGAAATTTGATAGAAAACTTACGGAATTATGCTCTTGCAAAGTTAGCGGTCTCGGCGATGTTCACGCATCGGCGATTTTGCCCACTTTGAGCCCCATTTTCGGCCAATTTCACTGTACTAGTCGACAAAAAACATGAATATTTCGCTAGAACTCCATTTTTTCTATCGAATGGGTGCAAGAAACCACCCATTTATGAAATTCAACTATCCAGTACAGTGGTCAGAATTTAGCAATTTTGCCAATTTCACACAAATTTCAAAAGATGCCAATTTCCGAATAGGGTCCAGAATAAACAAGAAAGACATTCTTGGCACTAAAATGACATTTCCTCTAGTCATTAGTCACGTCTCAAGGCCCCTCTTATATTCTTTTGCTTTCCACTTTGAATTTTTATTCTCACAAAAAATATAAGATTTACTGTTATGCAGACTACTGCATTAGTGTAAAAAATGGTATAAATATTATTGGTGCACTTGTGAAAGAATATTAGACTCACCAGTTGACATGTATTGCACGCTTGGCACGATTTGTTTACTTTTGAAGTTTGGTAAAAATCAAACATTTCTGCTACTTTGAGCTCAATTTCAAGGCACCTTTCATTGTAAAACCAGTCAAAATCATCTCAATTTCTGTAATATGTCTTCCATTCTATAAAATGAGACCAAGAAAACTAGAATACAACAATAAATACCATACGAAAATACACTGCAAAGTCGCTGATTTATTCCAAAAAAATGGTCAAAGTTTTTTTTTTCTCATTATGCACTGTGTGCTGCAGGATTTTTTTTAGACTGTGCACACTGACCACATAGACCCATTCTTTCATATGAAGGCCTACCAGCTTTCTCCCACTAGATTTGAGGCCGCTAGAATTTATGCGTACTAGTACGTCAAAAACCCCTACGCGTAAGACGTACTAGTACGACCAAAACCCTCAAAGGGTTAAGGGGCTTATTTAACTTGCAAGGACGAGGAGCTGGAAAACTTAGGTCCACGGGTGATGACGAAAGATCCGCCTCCAAAGGAAGAATGGCACCTTTAACATTACCCACTATTACAGAACAAGTAATTGGGGCTAGTACCGCATTAGTCCAACCTGTGAACCATTTAGTTTTCAAGTAACAACGTATTGTAGGGAAAGTATTTTCACGACCCAAGTAGTCTGAAAGAATAGAGGACACACGAAAGGTTTTAAAGTTAGAGAACAGTTTGTCCAAAATTATGATGCGCGTACATCCAGTGTCACGTAATATGTCTGAAACTTTTATACCATTAACCGTTCCTGAACAGAAGGGTGCCTGGTCATTACCGTCAACAAAACATCTGCCAACTTTCTCTATTTTCTTGGAAGGGCAATCTGGACGTTTACGTCCGATACCACCACACCGGTGGCATGTTGGTATAATAGCTGGTGACTTTTTTCCTACTGTAGGCTTCTTAACCTTTGGTTCAGGTGAACCATTCTCCTTAGGGATCGATCCCTTTAGGTCTTTATAGGAATTGTGAGCCTCAGCATTCAAGTCAGCAGCCTCAGCAACTTCCTCAGCTTTAATCAGGTTACATTTTCTAATGAATGTTTGTATTTGGTGGGGAAGAGCTGTCAGGAACTGGTCAGCAACCATGAAGTCTCTAAGAGATTCATAAGTGTGATCAATTCCTGAACTCTCTATCCAAAAGTCGAACAAACGAAAGAGTGTTACCTGTAACTGTTGAAAGTTTTGGCTATGCTCTACGGTGGCATACCTGAAGTCTTTCCTATAAGAATTTGTGGTCTTTTGGTATGCTTTAAGGATTGCCTTCCTAAGCAAGTTATAATTACATATGATATCCTGCGACAAAGTTGCATAGATATTCAAAGCTGTACCGGAAAATAACATACCTAACCTGGTAGCCCAGGTGTCAGCTGGCCATTCACAGAGGGTAGCAGTATTTTCAAACCTGATAATGTATGAAGTTATGTCTTCCCCCTCTGTGAAGGGAGGTAAATTAGGTGCTGGAATATGTGCACTAGCTGCATGATGTTCAATTACTCCTTCCTCTAATTGCTGTTGTGTAAAAGTTAACTTTTTATTTTCTAATTCAAGGCGTGCTTTCTCTACCTCGCGATCTTTCTGTCTCTCCCACAACTCAATCTCTCTACCTTTCTCCTCACGTTCTCGAGCTTTTTCCTCAAGTTCTCTATATTTTGCTCTTTCCTCAAGTTCTCTTAATTTAACTTGTTCCTCACGTATTTTAGCTTGTTCCTCACGCACTTTAGCTCTCCCCTCACGATCAAGTCTATCACGCTCCTTTTTCTCCTCTCTTTCTCTGTCTTTCTTGATTTTCTCTTTCAATTCTCTCTCTCTCCTTTTTCTTCTCTCTCTCAATTCTCCCCCTCTATCTCCTTTCTCTCCTCTCTCTCGGTTCTCTCTCTCTCCTTTTTCTCCTCTCTCTCAAGGTTCTCTTTCTCCTTTCTTTCTCTTTCCTGGATCTTGGAGCTAATGAAAGCTTCTAAATTTTTCCCCATTATTCCTAACTTACTCCCAGTGTTCATCCAAAACTGGTATTCCTCCATACTTGCAAGAATAACTTAAACTACCAGAGGAAAATGAAATGGATACATAAAAAAAAAAGAGGGTTCAATTCCTGCTCCACTCAAACTGTAAATAAATCGGAGGGTTGGATCCCTGCTTCGATTAAACAGTATGTGTGAATGACAACGAAGGGTTCTATGCTGGCTCCGACCAAACAGTAAGTAGAATGGGATCCCTTGACCATCCAATCTTCTCACTAACAAATCAAGTGTCTCCTACAGCAGTACCCTTGATATAATAAATAGAGCTCAATGAAACAACTTGTCACTGGAAAATCTTGGGTCCCTAGAGTCTATTCCTCCAAATCGTTTCAAGCTCACATAAACAAAGACGACAGAATTAACTAGTATATCCTGCCTTGACTTGACTTACAATAAATTGAGACTACAACAATCACCAAATCTTTTAAATACCTGTACTGTAGTCCTACCATAGAGAATGATTACTCAGGGCTGGTGGTAACCGTATGTGGCATGCAGCCTTGAAGGTCCAATGGTAGATTCGAGATGTAGTTGAACCTTGATTCAGTCGAGTAATCCTGGCAAGGTCGCCACTTGTGAAGGCTTACTCAACCCTGTAAGATCTTAAGTAGGTCTTACCATGGCTGGCTCCTCCTTAGGAAAATTAATGAATAGAATAATAACATACAAAGATAAACATTTTATTGTTAGAACTGAAAATATAAAATATTTAAATATGAACTTTTATCCTACTTGAAAGAAAAATTAAAAACAAAAAATAAAAATATCTGAATTCAACGCTAATATGTACAATTAGACTGGGGTGTCTGGTTGATGTTGTTGACGCCGCGTATTGTAGAAATTGTAGCCATTGCTGATGATGTGGGGGGGGTCACAGCTGTTGAGTGACAACCCAACGACTAGTTCGTCACAGTCTCCAGCCTTGAAAAATCCGTCAAGATGATAGGAACACAGGTCTTTCACCACTGCAAAGATGAGAGGTAGTTGCCTGGGGTTGGCTACACTTATCAGGTATGTAGATAAAAAGTGACGTCCCAGAACTCATGTGAAGTTCGTCTCCTTCAACACTATTTCTTTGGCTGCCAGATGACCCAAGCTGACATTCCAAGCTAGAAAGAGACAAAGGTTACACACTGCTTAAGAAATCACTCTCCATGATAAGTAAAGCATTTAAAAGACTGGTGAAGATTGAAATGCAAAACCTGGAAATCAAGGCAGAATGAACTATATCTTAGAATTGGTTAAAAGTGAAGCTTTTAACCAATATATCCATTAAAAACAGGAGCAGAGGCTTTTACTTACAGTTGTGCTGGGAGCTGAGAGTCAAGTGATTACCATTTGGTCGGAGCCTCACACGTCACCTTTCCGGGTGGAGAAAAAAAGGAGGGGGGGATAGCGGGGGACAGCAGGAGCTAGACTGACCCTACCTTAACAAGCAGACGGGCAATCAAACTATCATCACCATATACTCGCTCGCTACTCCTATCTGTTGAACTTTTCCCTCACAAACGGAATTGGCCAAAAACAGGGCTCAAAGTCGGCGAAACCGCCGATATGTATATGTCACTGAGACCGCTAACTTCCATGAGTTTTCGACCAAATTTCGTACTTTTGGTGTCATTGCCATCGGGAAAAGATTCTCTACCATTTCATAAGAAAAAATAACTTTTTTTTTTTTTTCAAAAAATTTTGCGACATAGAATGACAGTTTCAGAAAGGGGCTTGCGACAGTCAAAGGGTTAAAGCCTACTACACACGAAAGTCAATGCAAAGGCTCCATGTTATACTAGATGCAGATCCAGATATGAGTGTCACGCAATACAAAAAGAAATTCACCATCGCTGCCTCTCAATAGTGCATGAGTGTGTCAAGGATTTGCACCCTCAGACAGTGAAGGGTTGTTGGAGGGCTTTGTGGCCAGTGTGTGTGTGTAATTTTGTTGGATTTGGCCATCAGGACAAGGTTTACAAAGCAGTGAGGAAGACTGGAAGTTACCAAGGCAAATGGTGAAGGGCTCGAGGACATGCAGGAGGGTGAGGTAAGAGAACTGGTTGAATAACATGCACTCAGCCTAAACGATGAAGAATTTTTGGAGATTGTGCAGGCAGAGTGAGGAGAGTGTTGCTGAGTACAATCAACCTCAAGCCCTGACCCTTGAAAAACTAGGGCAAGCGATGAGAATGTTGAGGGTTTTGGAGGTGATGAGCGACACTGATAGGATCATAATTCCCTACAAAACTCTGTTCGTAGATATAAAGAGGAAATGATCTCAGCTGCCCATCACAATGTTCTTCACAAGGAAGTCTGCTCCTACCCCTGCCACTACCCCTACCGCCTCACCTGAAACTCAACTTGTGGCAGAATCTGACTCCGTTGCTAACTCTGATTCTAGTGATATGGGCAGTGACGCTGGCAGTGAAGAGTTAGAATCCACACACTAGACTCATCCTGCTATGACGTTACACTCCATATAATCACCTCCATTCAACTCTCATCAGTAACTGCATGGCTAACTATCAACACCATCATGATCGTCATTGTCATCATCACCACAAGTCGTCAGAGTTCGTCTGTCTAACCTTACGAGTGGTGAGTGTTTTGTTTGTTCATTATTTGATATTAAACCATAACATGTATATACAATATTTTATGATGTTTTCCATGTGTTTTATGATTGTTCGTGGTACAACAGGTTAAGGAAGCAGTATTGTTAGGCTAAGTAAAACCTATTATTATATTTCCCTACAATATATTTGTGCATCAAAACATTCACAAACGCTACAGTACAGTATTATTATATTTCCCTACATCATATTTGTGCACCAAACATTCACGATTCATGAGGTTCTTGATCTCCTAACCCTCACGAATGTGGAAGGCCTCCTGTATACTATTACCATCATTAAAGGTTATCTACCTATCATATTTATTCCAGAATAATATTAGGTATAACATAAATACAGCCTCTCCTCACTTAGCGACGTACTCGTTTACCGATGCCTCAGACTTACAATGGGCTCTCTGACCAGTATTTATACCTAAATACAGAGGACCCTCAGTTAACGATATTAATCCGTTCCAGAGAGCTTGTCCTTAACCGATTTTATCGTTATTCGAATTAATTTTCCCCATAAGAAATACAATGGAAATCCAATTAATCCGTTTCAGACATCCAAAAATATTAAACAAAATAATTTTTTTACATGAAATATACATTTCCCTACACAGAAAACAATGATACATGAAGAATAAAACAATAATAACATCACACTTACCTTTATTGAAGACATGGTGACGTATGGAAGACGGGAGGAGGAGAGAGGATGGAGGAGTTTAGAACTGTTTGGAAAGGGAATCCCACTCCATAAAGACTTCAGGTATCAAGTTCTTAGCCTGAGTTACTTCCCTCCTTTGTTTTTTAATGCCACTAGGACCAGCTTGAGAGCCACTGGACCCCTGTCGTTCAAAAAAGTTTCCCAAAGAGGTCTGTTTCTGGCGTATGTTAGGAATTGTGTTGAGAGACACAAGATAGTCCTTCAATATATCAGCTCTATGGCTTATTTATCTAGCATAATTCATCTAATATGACATAATAAACAATATTAATGATATAGAAACATGATATACACTCTAAAATGAATAAAATACGTCATTAAGTAAGTCATGAGTGTTGCTGTGTTGTTGTTGTTGGGTGTATAAGGGCCACTGAGAGCATAAGCCGTACATGGTGGTGGAGGTGGCAGCAGAGGCAGTAGAGACGGTGTTGTTGTCAGTTGCCCTACATAACTCCAACAACATTGGAGGAGTTAGGTTCGTGTTTTCCTTTTTCTATTGATTAATCGCTTAACTTACTTGCTACAGTTAATGCTACACTTTATCGCTGGCTGCCACTATAGCCTTTATAGACTCCTACTGCTTTAGTATCGTACATATTGCAAAATCACTGAAAAAGGCACAGTCTCCCCTCTCTCTCAGCCCTTTACCAAAGGGCTGGCTGACACTAGAAGCTTTTTTTGGGCCCATGGTGGCTTATTTAGCAGTTACAAGCACTAAAAACAATGGAATAATACAAAATGTATCGCATATACGCGTGGAATCATCCCCAGCGGCTTGTAAACAATGGCACACTAACCACACTGGAGTAGCCAGGCGGTTCAGGCCGCGCGGACACGTTCTGGACGAATGTCTTTAACTGAGTTTCTTATCATTAGCCAAGCCAATATTTTGACGCAAAAACATATCAGTATCCGATTTTATTGCTATCTGATGATATCGTTAACCCTTTCAGGGTTTTCTGCCGTACTAGTACAGCTTACGTCCCAGGGTTTTTGACGTACTAGTACGCATAAATTCTAGCACCCTCAAATCTAATGAGAGAAAGCTGGTAGGCCTACATATGAAAGTGGAAAGCAAAAGAAATGTAAGAGGGGCATGGGAACGTGACTAATGAACAGAGGAAATGTTATTTTAGTGCCAGGAATGTCTTTCTTGTTTATTCTGGACCCTATTTGGAAATTGGCATCTTTTGAAATTTGTGTGAAATTGGCAAAATTGTTAAATTCTGACCACTGTATTTGATAGTTGAAATCGATAAATGGGTGGCTTCTTGTACTCATTCGATAGAAAAAATGGAGTTCTAGCGAAATAGTTATGATTTTTGTCGACTAGTACACTGGAATTGGCTGAAAATAGGGCACAAAGTGGGCAAAATTGCCGATGCGTAAACATTGTTGAGACCGCTAACTTCGCGAGAGCATAATTCCATAAGTTTTCCATCAAATTTCATACTTATAGTGTCATTATGATCGGGAAAAGATTCTCTATCTTTTCACAAGAAATTTTTTTTTTTTTTTTAAATTTGGGTGACCCTGAGAACAAGTCTCGGAGAGGGCCTGGCGACCCTGAAAGGGTTAACCCTTTGACTGTCACAACCCCAAATCCTGAGGTGTCTCCTGGTGTCACAAAATATTTGACAAAAAAAATATATATATATTTTCTTGTAAAATGATAGAGAATCTTTTCTCGATGATAATGACACCAAAAGTATAAAATTTGATGGAAAACTTACAGAATTACACTCTCATGAAGTTAGCGACCTTGGCGACATTTACACACTGGCGATTTCGCCCACTTTGAGCCCTATCTTCGGTCAATTCCATTGTTCCAGTCCACCAAACTCATAGATATTTCTTTAGAACTCCATTTGTTCTTTCGATTGAGTACAAGAAACTGCCCATTTACTGATTTCAACTACCCAATAAAGTGGTCACAAACTGAGAATTTGGCCAATTTCAAGTAAATTAAAAAATATGTCAATTTCAAAATAGGGTCCAGAATGAACAATGCAGACATTCCTGGCACTAAAATAACATTTTCTCTGTTGATCAGTCATGTCTCCAGGCCCCTGTTATAATCCTCTTGCTTTCTATTTTGAATTTTTATTCACACAAAAAATAGATGATTTACTGTTATGCAGACTACTGCAATATTGTAATAATTGTTTAAATAATGTCAACCCATATGTGACTGCATATTAGAATGGCTAGTTGGACATTTATTGGACAATGACATCATTTGTTTACTCTTGAACATCAGCAAAAATTGAACATTTCTGCCACTTTGAGCTCCATTTCAAGATCCTTTCCATAGTAATACCAATGAAAATCACTTCTATTTCAATAACATGTTTTCCATTCTATCAAATGAGACCAAGAAAACAAGAATACAGTGGACCCCCGCATACCGTTGGCCTTACAAAACGTTAAATCCGCATACCGCTACATTTTATCGCTAAGATTTTGCCTCGCATACCGCTAAAAAACCCGCTCAACGCTGTTCGTCCGAGACGCGTCTAATGTGCGCCCTTAACCAGCCTCACATGTTCCGCCGGTGGCATTGTTTACCAGCCAGCCTCTGTAGACAGCCTGTACTGTCTGCACAGACAGCCCATGCTGTCTGCCAGCTTAGTTCATACAGTGGACCCCCGGTTAACGATATTTTTTCACTCCAGAAGTATGTTCAGGTGCCAGTACTGACCGAATTTGTTCCCATAAGAAATATTGTGAAGTAGATTAGTCCATTTCAGACCCCTAAACATACACGTGCAAAC